CACAGTAAAAAAATCACAAGGAGTAACTATGATTCTTTCTTTATTTTTTTTCTTCATTTTAAGTGACTATATATATCAAGGGTACTCACCAAAAGCACCCCACCTACATTCCACAAATGGGCTACAACCTAAGCAGGTTTGACAATTTAATGAATTGAAAGGCAACCCAACAAGAACAAATATTTAACAAAATGCCAATATACAATAAATCCAAATCAATAGTCTATAAGTTTGTAATTGAGACTTGAGAGTGACCCCCAAACTATAATTATGAGGCAGCCTCACTACCAATATGTGGGGTCATCCATTATCTTTCCCCTATCACAAATTCAGTTATGAATTAAAAGAAGGAAACTTAACAATACATACAATTCATTCCGAATTATTTACCAATATGATCGAAATATATAAAACCTAGATTCTAATTATATAGATTATGCTTAATCATACAAAATTTATACATTTGATGGCTATTTGTAAACTAGATCACCTAAACACAATGAACCGTAATTATTCATGAAAGAAACCATATACTTGGATGATTCATGGAAAAAGTTCCCCACAAAAAAGAACACATAAATAAATAAATAAATAAATAAATAAAGAGCTACTAGTGGTCCTATTTAGTTCCAGAACTAAAGTAGGTGCATTATACTAAAAAACTATTCTACTTTTAAGCCAAAAGAATATCTATTTTCTGTTTTGGCTTCCAAGAAACAAAAGAGAGCCAGAGGACTGCTTCTTTTTCTTTCTTTTTTTAAGAAATAAAATAAAACACGTTCTTTTGTTGCTTTAATTCTTTTTAAAATTTATCTAGATCCATTTTTCCAATTTTTTGATAGTTTTATATCAAATAAAGATATTTAATTGATAGACCAAACTAAGGCAAATCAAGATTTCCACTTCTTCTCCAGCTTTAAACTTTGGGATTACAACTTACAAGGAGAAAGAGCTTCCAAGAATCTCATTAGATACAACTTTTTTTACAAAAAGGTCCATCAAAGAATCCCCTAACATGTGAATTGTGATCCTCCCAAAAAAATATTCATCCACACAATAAGCACTCCTCTGCAAAACATCACTGTCCTCTCCACAATGAACTTGTACTACTTTTTTATTAAACAAATAAAAAGATTTCAGCTAAACAACTAATTAACTTAATTGTACCTGAATCAATGAATAATAAAACAAGCACAAGGTAACACCAAATAAAACATGCACATTTTTGTCAAATTTACTTGTCTGTGCTCCAAGAAACCTTATTGTGTTTGCTCCACTTGCTTGTGTCGCGTTCGCTACCTCGCTTGTTTTATTGCTTACTTTCTTACTGCATTTTTAGTAGTTTATCGATTGTAAGTATACGTTCTAACCCAAGATAATCATCAAAAGAAATAGGGAAACTATGATTTTACAGCTAATTTTAGCATGGGGAAATGAAAAGGACAAGGACAAATGGTATGGGGGAAAAAAGGACAAAAATTTATGCTCACCTTCCTGGAAATATACAACTCCCGTGACCTGCATATATTCCCCACAAAAGGAAAGACATAAGTTCAGAGCTTCAACTAAATAATTTAGAATAGACTTCACTAGAAAAAAAGGAAACAAGTGGAGCCCTATACTTGCTAGCTAAACATATATATATATATATATATAAACAACATGATGTAAGTACTCTATTCTGGTTAAGTCAAACTCCACAAAACAACATATGCATTCTTGTGGTTCCATTCTATTGATAATATGTTAGTACTTTTTTCTAATAACGGTGCTGTCTGGTCGAACTTATATGCACATCGACTATTCTACCAGATATGTCATCTCCCACACAACACATATACCAAGGCCTAACCAAATTAAAAGAAATCATTTGTATTCGCGGAGATTTGAACTCTGGTTTCTTATGGTTTTCACCTATGGGTGCAAGTTTGTTATTTTATAAAAATTGAATATCAAGTACATCTCTATTTGTGTGGCCCTTAAAATGGAACATAAACTATATAAAAACTGAAATCCTATTTTAAATTTTAGTTCCACCATCCAAGTTTAAATCTTCCATATCCAAGTGGGCACTAAAGTTCCATTGTGGGTCTGGAAACCACTAGCTCATGAATTATTTTGCAGAATGCGACATTTGTGATTACAGTTGTCAGTGTATCATTGAATCAACTTAAGAAGGCCATCAAACATTCTTTATGGTTCACAAATTATTTTTGAATTGGATTGTGTTTTTTTTTTCTTTTTCAAATGGGATGGTTCAAAGATATTTTACATTAAAATGTTGAACATGACATAGTTTGGGACAAAATGCTTAAGTCACCTAAGAAAGAATTATCTTTTGTGTCATCCATTTCAGCTCTCTCATTATTACAAACTAAAGTGTAGCTCATAAATGCACAACTAGAACTTCAAAACTTCAACTTAATGCATTGAACTAATATTTTTTTGAAATAGAAAGAAAACTAAATATAGAGAGAAACTAAGATTATGATAGACTTACTTGGATCAGTTGTGGTGATCATGGCCACTCCCTTGAAGTCACAAGAACTAGGAGATCCCCCTTCCTTCTGATAATAGCTATCAAATGCATATGAAGCATGGTTCTTCACATCATTAGGCTGATAACAACTCTCCCCTGGCTGAATTTCGGAGCAATTTGCCCTCCCCGGTCCACAAGCCCAATCTAAAGCTGTCTGCATTGTCCTCTTATCAACCCCATCCATTGCTATGCAATATGTTTGGTTAGTGGTGTCATTAGCCAAGAATGTACCACTTCCAGACACATGAAGCAAGTAAACAGGCGTTGAATTCCCATAGAATAGCCCCCAATTCGCCTCGGACAATGGGGGTGACCTCAAATCCTCATTGAATAACTCATATATGTACACACTAGAAGTAAGTTCCGGATGCAATGGTGTACCACTACGATCAATTATATGCTTAATTAAATTGGAGTTATAAGTATCAGCATTGTCAATTGTAGCATAAGGCTCTTTAGAATCCCCCTTTGAAGGCCATCCTGACTCAGTAACAAGAACTACCACATCTGTAGTATTGAGATTTTTCATGGAAAAATAGACAGAATCAATCATTGCATCAAGCACATTGGTGTAATGAAGCAAAGTATTAGGATCCACCATCTCTTTAGAAGGTGTCAAGGGCTTGAAAAGAGAGTTGTCTATAGGGACAACCCCTTTATTCTGCATAAACACATAATAAGGGTACAAATTCATCATCAGAGGTGACTGTGTCCTCGAACAAAACTGCAATAACTTAGAAAGGACAGAGCTCATGGACTGATTGAAAAAAGCTTGGGAAGGTGGAAAAGGGTCAAGAATAATGGAAGCAGCATTTGGGGTTGAAATTTTGATTTGGTTATGCAAATTTGCAGCCACTAAAGCACTATAAAGTGACTCAATTGCTGGCATAAGCAAAGGAGCTGAACTTGGCACAGTGGTCAAGATTTCATCCCCAACTGCTATTGCAGTGATAAGAGTTTCAGGGTAATAAGCTGCCACATTGCGCCCAATCCAGGCAGCTGCAGTAGTATTAGAGGACCCAATAGCAAGAATTTGGTTGTTAGGCACACTAATAATCACTCTGATTTTGGTCTTAGATAATGCTTTGAGTATATCAGGGTCAGCATCATAAAGCCTTATATGAGTTATCTTCTGTAATTGCAAAAAAGCAACCAAGTCTGCAGGTGAAAGCAAATTGGAAACATCTGTACCTATGTTCACTCCCACATATGGCTCATCTTTGTTTTGCTGCACTTTTATCTCTGCAACAAATTCAAGAACCATATTCATAAGAAGAAAAAAAAGAACACAACCAAGAAACCCCACAAAAAAAACATGTTTTTTTTTCAAGATTGGTTCATAAATGTTACCTGGCACAAAATTTGAACTTGATGTGGAGAAGAAGCAGCAACAGAAGAGAAGAAACAAGAAGAAAGGAGGGAACTTTTTAGTATTTGCCATTAAAGAGAAGCTTGAGGTTTTCTTGTATCATCTTCTGTTTCAGGTTCAGGTAGGGATTGCATTATCTTGGGAATTTTTTTTGCTGTTTACTAATAAGAGGGGCAATTGACAACAGGGATTTTTGACTTGCAAGATCTAAATTTGGAGTAAGCTATAAGAAAAAAAAAACATATTAATAATTCTTGCAAGTAAAATGGACTTTAAGGTAGCTTTTGGTGCATTATTTTTACTGCAATGCATCAATAATGTTGGATTTTATGTTCCTGTGGGGTAAGAATGACAATAATGACCTTGTGAACCGACAAGAAAATTGGAACAGTGACAAGTTTCTGCAATTTTTGAAGCACTTTCTTTGTTTCTATAATGGGTTTGGTACAAAGTTGGAACAGTATAACGGGTCGTTTGGTTGAAATCTTAGAAAAAATTATTTCAGCAAAAAATGTATAAACATAAAAAGAATTAAAAAAAAAAAAGTTCTCACATAGTAAAAGCTGTGTTTAGTAGGTTTGTATAAATGAATTTCGCGCATAACTATTGAAGCATTTAAAATGTCAATTGTGTATTGATTATTCACCACATACTCCATAATTTGTATATCAGTATTCCTGACATAATAATTCCTTCATTATTGCTTACTGTATGATCATATTTTGATTAAATCCTTACACAATAATAAACCAAACAACCCTTATTTAATGTGTGAAATAATAGAAAGTTTTGTGAAGATTAAAGATAGTAAAATAAAGACAAGATTTTTACTGAACACTAGGCTACTTGTTGGAATTCTTTGGGATGCTTCTCAAATTCCAGGCTGGCTATCAGAGACCTGACTTTGCACTTGTGTAATGACTGAAGTGACCCCATCAAAGTTTCTTCAGAGAAAGGTGAAAAAAAGTAAAAAAAGGTGGAAAATAAAAACATGTGGAGGAGAGGCATTGGTTGGCTGACACAAAAAAGAACCCTAAGACAAATACACAACAGCTTTTCTATTAAAGCTATTTCACAAATAAAATACAGTGACCTTTATTTATAGCACTTGAGTTTTCAATTTTTCAAAGAGAAGAAATAATATGTTTGTAAATTGTAATGTACTCTGAGCCTCCATGACTTCAACACTGTCTTCATTCCTTGGTATCAAATCCATCTGCTTTATTGTTTGTAATGTACTCTGCCAACAAAATTAAGGTAATTAGTTAATGATTAACACAATCTATCAAATCATAAGAAGTGAAGTTTAATAGTATTTGGGCTAATCCTTATGCATACTTGTTTCTAAGATCACCTATATACATGATCACCACTGATTCTCCATAAAGAGATATACATCCCCTTTGAGGCAAAAAAAACAAAGGAAAAGAGAGCAACACAATAAAACAAGTAACATATGTCCATCCAGAAACAGACAAGAAGTAAAATCACGAGTTTCGTGCTTTCTAGTATCAAAAAGAATGTGGAGATCAACAAAAGAGAGATTCCCACAGCATAGGTAATGTTAGGTCTAGTGATAGTACGATATCTAAGTTTTCCCACAAGCTCTGATCCTTGCATCATCCAAGGGTTCTTTTCTCTTTTCTTCAAGCTTATGATTTTCTTCTATTGGGCTAATTGCGGCCTTGCAACCCAACATCCATGTTCTCTTCTAACCAAGGACATAATTGGAGAGATGGCTCTACTTCTTATCTTGAAATACAGGCAGGAAAAAGTTCAAGTATACGGCCTCTTAAGTTGCATGATCTTATCACAACCAGATTACAAGAGAAGATTTCTTATTCTCTCAGAACTATGTGGTTCCAAGTACATAGCTGAGAATCAAGCTCAAGCTTTGCTCAAGTGAATTTCATGAGTTCAGCCTAGAGTCAAGTTCATAATGAATTGACCAAAACAGGACAAAAGAAAGCTAGGATGCTTTTGAAGACATTTAAGGTCATGTGGATAAAAAGTCTTTAGAATCCTAATGCACAATTAAAAACAGTGGAGCAACAGAATTTTATAATTACAGCTATAAAAAAAAGTTCCAATACATTTGCGGCAAAGCTATCTAGAGAAATTGTCCTTTAATTTGGGTCAAGCAAGCACTGCCAGTAGACACTCTTTTAAGACATTCTAAACTAATCAGCTGTATGTAGGAGAATCCCATTTTTGATAATTAATATGATGTACAGTTGTTCATCCAATTAAGAGTCATACTATTCTTGTAGTAAGAAGTCTTGTGACTGTCAAGCTATGGCTCATCTCTTCAAGTCACCTTTGCTAAACCTATGTCAATTGCCATCAATTCTATGAAAGTAATAGTTGTGTGCTTGTTGACAGGTGTAAAAGGCAGGAAGTGTACTTCTTGAGTCCCACCTCTAGCCTAGAGAGCACAAATAAATATAAGAACTCAGGTATTAGTAAGTCGATGCACTTCTCTGAACATGAAAGTTGCTAATGATTCCTAACAGAAATGACAGGATGAAATAGCCTCTAGCATTGAATATGCATGAATAAGTGAAAGTAGGATCCACAAGCAAAAATTAGGAAACATTGAAGAAATGCAGTTGAGAATATGCATGAATAAGTGAAAGTAGGATCCACAAGCAAAAATTAGGAAACATTGAAGAAATGCAGTTAACTGGTAATACAACATTATTTTACAATTATACAGCGCCAGAGGTGGACGTATCCATAAAGAAGCAGAATATAGCCACTTCAATAAACATTTAACTAAAACAAAACTTCTATCAGAAATTTTTAGCAACCCATGATATCTTTCATCAAATCTAACTCATTCTACCACTAAAACACTACACCAATCACTAAATCTCAACTATGTTCACTTTTGAGCCCATTGTAATGGAAGTTCCAGAAAATTAGTTACTAATACTCAATGGCATATGGGTAGATTTTATACATAAGGAATTCGAACTGTACAAGTCTAATAATATTAAGTTTTACCACTAATTATACAAACTGAAACCTGTCAACCTAGGAGGTAAAATACAAGTTATTACTAAAATTGTAGTAAGATGAAGTTTGTGTGTTACCTCTTATGGACATTCCGGAACATGTGAATCAATCTTAAGCAAACCAAGAAACAAGTCTCCTGAACAATCAGTTTGTCAACTCCAGAAGTTGCAACTTTTACTTTCATCTCTTGACATATCATGAAGAATTCACAAGCTTTGTGTGACGAGTTACGGGATCAACTTCTACTCGAAGCCCAAGTCTAACAAGTTCTGGAACATCTACAGTTCCTTGAAGCTCCAAATCGGTAATAGCCCCTTGGTTTTCTGCATTCCCTTCCAATAGGTTTCGCACACACCAGATTCCCCACTCCCTTAAGAAAGGATTATCTTCATCTATAACACACTGTTGTAGCAGTAAAAGGATCCCATTTTTATCCCTAATCTCATCTTGGACATGCCTTCTCCTATAAGCACAATTTCCAAGGATGGCAACGATATCTCTCCGGAAACCTTGGTATGGACAACACCTAAATGAAGAAGATATTGTCCCCTCCTTGATCTGATCCTGCTTCATTGCTTTCCTAATTGTCGTTGGAGGTTCAAGATCCCGAAGCAAGTTCAAAAGAAATTCAATAAGCCCAGAGGAAACAAGTACGTCCACGACATCCTTTGAACTTTCTTCCTTAGAGCTTGTCATGTGATCAGAAGCGCAAATATCTCTCAAGATGGTGAGAGAGTATCCTAGAACATCAATAGGAGCAGACCCAACTGGAAGATCACTTTTCCCTCTTATTGAAAAATCAGCAACCCCAGAAGCACTCTTCAATATCCCAAAGATACTTCGAGCAAAATCATGAGAAACAACAATATGCTCTACTCGCTCATTCAAGATTTCTGAAAGTGTACTCAACAGATAAGACTGCTCAATAACAAATTGATCAACTACATGTGTAACAACACCATTGTTCTCAACGGAAGGATATGAATGTAATTTGAAGAAAATTGATGAGATGTAGGAGCCCTCAATGCAAAGTTTTGAGAGTAACAATTTTAACCAAACTTCTTTAAGACCAACTGCAAAAGAGTATGAACGCATAAGCTTACCATAATAATCAAATAACAAAAGTTTTGAATATATCAGAAGTTACAAAATTCACCGGTCTTTACCGGCTGATGCAGTACGCAAAATTTCTATCAGAATGGGCAACCCTTTCTCCGAACATAAATCTGTAAGCAGTCCATCCGTACCATCACAGCAAGTGTAAATAACCATACATAAAGGATCACATATTTCCTGGTTTCTAACTCTAGCAATCTTCAAGAACTTATGAGGAAACAATTGGTACCACACATCACATTGACGTTCTCCTCCACCCACTGAGTAGTTTCCTAGAAGTTGCAGCCCAACTCGAATAATCATACAATCAGGATCAGGAGTAAGTCCTACCGACATAATAACATCCACGACAATTTCAACTCCTCTTTGTTGAAGAAACTCATTCTGATTTATTATCTCCCCAGCACACAGATTTCTAAGTACCTTAAGAGACAATAAAAGGAGGTAACGGTAAGAGATAGATGACAGAGACTGGCAGAGATGGAGGACAGTGGTGACAACATTCTTGGACGACAGATCTAACCGTCCACCCTCCTCCTTGGCAAGTTCTATCAGCTTCTCGAGTGCCGTTTCTAAAGAAGATGAGTTTGACACAAGTAATAATTCTTTGGCAACATTTTCCGGGATTGTAAGCTCTGCTACAATTTGATCATCCACAGTAACAACTTTATCATCCATTATCTAACAAGGAATGCAGAAAAAATGATCAAATTAATGAGAAGGATCAGTTCGCTAAAACAACTTTTAATTGCACTTGAAAAAGTGATGGAGAAGTGACTATTGAACATCACAATGAGTTTAATACTAACAAAGCTTATCTAACTGAAAGATAAACCTATTTAGATGATAATATATTCTAAAGTATAAATACAACATATGAACATAAACTAAATCTAGAGATAAAAGAGCTTAAAAATGAGAGGAAAGTAAATTTGAACGGAACTATTAAGTCTTACCTAAGGAGGAAGAAAATTGAAGCAGACGACACCAAAAAGAAAGAGAGAAAGGAGAAGGAAAATAACTGGAAAATTTGGCGAACACTACTCTGCAATGGGATGCCTAGGGTTCTATTGTTTTGAGCTAAGCTCTATTAAGATTTTTGGGGTATTAATTTCAAAACCTTCATTTTATAGTCTCTTTTTTAACACCATAAATTGGGGGTCGGGTGGGGAACATGGGAGGTGAATCAACTAATACTCATCGATGTTTTGTGTTTTTTTTTTAAAAAAAAGGGAAAAGGATTAAAAAAAAATACCATTAAACTAAGTGAAAAGGACAAAAATATCATTCCTTTATAGTTTGGCTCAAATATGTCTTTACCGTTAATACTTTGGTTCAAAAATGCCCTTAAACTATGTGAAAAGAACAAAAATACCCTCCGTTTGTAGTTTGTTCCAAAAATGTTCTTGATATCAATACTTTGGTTCAAAAATGCCCTTATTGTTATTTAATGAGTCAAAAATGCTCATTTTTCAAATAAATATATTATTTATTTTCTTTTGGGATAAGGATCTGAAAAATACCCCAACTTTGGTCGAATTCGCTGTTGCGATACTAAACTTTCATGAGGACCTATTACCTCCCTAGACTATTTAATACCGTATTTTAAACATATATATTTGCCCACGTGGACATAAAAAATAATGCAAAATTATAAATAGTAATGTGTCCACGTGGACACATTACTATTTATAATTTTGCATTATTTTTTATGTCCACGTGGGCAAATATATATGTTTAAAATACGGTATTAAATAGTCTAGGGAGGTAATAGGTCCTCATGAAAGTTTAGTATCGCAACAGCAAATTCGACCAAAGTTGAGATATTTTTCAGACTTTTATCCCTTTTCTTTTTAACACATTCTTTTTCTAATGATTTTTTTTAAAATAAGCAAATGTTTATCTTACTTCAGTTCAGAAAAAAAATGAAAATATTTCTTATTTTATTATCATTAATTTTTATCGTTATATAAATATAAACTAATGATGGATATACTATGATCTTATATAAATATGGCATATATTGTATGTCGAAAGGATACATGAAGTTATTCTATTTTAATTGATAAAATGAGTTTAAGAAGAAAAAAAGTATTTCCTACATTTTTATTTGTTGAAGTGATTTTACAAGAGTGTTCTTTAATAATATTTTAGGAAGAAGATGTGTTTAAAAAGAAATATATATATACATTTCTGGACCAAAATATTGATTGCAAGAGCATTTTTGAACCAAAGTATTGACGGTAAAGACATGTTTGAGTCAAACTATAAACGGAGGACATTTTTGTTCCTTTCACTTAGTTCAAGGACATTTTTTACCTTTTCCCCAAGAATACAATAAGTTATTTTTAATTATAAAAAGATGATATATTTTTTTAATTATAAAAAAGTATCACATAAATTGAGACCGAAATGAAATGAAGACATATTAGGAAATACCACCTTATTCCTTGAACTCATTTTCGGTATTGGTGTCTTAATTTTCTAATGAAACTTTCTCTGTATTTGAACCATGCACAATTTTATATTTACATAAATTCTTTTCATGTTTCGAATTAAATATGCAAAGATTTATTATATTAAAGAAGCAACTATATCAGTTATTTTTTATCATCAAAATTTTGTTGGTTTTCTTTTTCAAGTATTGAAGTACCATATTAGAGGGTAAAGTGCTTTCTCCCGACAAAAATAAGGCTCGAATTCTATATTTATGATGAAATACTCATCACGTTACCACAATCGTTATTGGTGTGGTTGAATTTTGCATTTATCTGATAGGTTTTCAATTTGGTGTTCTTGATTGTGAACCTTTGTTGTTCCTTTTCCTTTGCTAATTTTAACCACGACAAAAGCCAATCATTTCTCATAATAAACATAGCGTGAATGAACTCGGATAAATACAGCCGAGAATTCTCTATTAAAAGTTAGAGAGAGTTGTTCTTAATTATAGAGACATAAGAGAATTAGAAGAAGAATGAGAGAAAGTAAACACTTTTGCTTCAACCAACAAAATTGAGCCCTCAGACATATATACTTCTCTACTTGAGAATAATGGGAAAGTAAAAAACTTATTTGTCTTAAGTAGGACCTAAGGAAAATAAAATGAAGAGGAGGAGAAGGGAGAGCAACCATGTACCAAAAACACTATACAAGAAGAAACTTAGTAAGCACAAAGAGGAAGGTGCACTTTGCCACCATTCTTCACTATATTCTACAACTCCCCCATATCTCCCTCTTGTATTACTTCTTTGTCAAAACAATGGTGATTGATCAAACACCATTTGCTTTTCATCTGAGAGCATTCACAAAAGCCAGCAAGGAGTCTACATCCCTCTTCTCTGAAGGATACTTAATGGCCTTTGAAGAGTGCTTTGGGAAGAAGAGTATTGTAGGGAAGCTGCCAAGCTGCAATTCTTGTTGTGCAAATGCTTTCTGGTCACCATCTGCCCTAAATTTCCCCACTTTCACACCAGAACCAGCCAACTTCTCAGCCAATTCAACATAGGATCCTTCCATTGCCTGGCAAAATTGGCACCAAGGTGCATAAAGAACAACGAGCCAAGGCTCTCTTCGGTCTTCCAATTTTAGTAGGTTCTCTACTCCAGGCTTACTCAAAGTAACAATATCCTTGGTATCAAAAATATCAGCAATGGTAGCAGTACCATTTGTTTGGACAGCGCCATCTACACTTTCATCCTTGATGTTGCCCTTGTGCAAGCCACACTCCTTGGCCTTGGCATCTTCCCACCACCATCTTCCCTCTCTCTCGTGTTGCCCTGGTAGGACTGGCCTTGTGCAAGGTTCGCATCCAATGGATACATATCCTTGTGAATGCAATGAGTTTACAGGCACATTCATGGCACGCAGGAAGTTCCAAATATCTTTTCCGTCCACATTAGCCACGGGGTTCCATTTCACCAAGCTACCAGCACCGCCATCCAACCCCTCAAAAGAAGGGTCCACCTGAACAATGGGGATTTCTGATCGAGTTCCAGGGGACTGATCTTTACGTTGGCCTGTGATCCAGGCGCGTAAGCCCTTTAGAGCTCTCCTCAAAGGCCTAACCTTCCTTACACGGCAACACTCTTGGTGGCCATCCTCATAGAAAGAGAAAAGCCCTTTGGTCCTAACCAAGGCCTGAACTTCAACTGAATCAGGGAACATGTATTCAATGCGAATGCCATAGTGCTTCTCCACCGTGTCAAATAATTGGTATGTCTCCGGGTTCAACCTCCCAGTATCAAGGCTGAATACTCTGTATGGTCGGCCAGTTAAATGTGCATACTCTATCAAAGCAACATCTTCAGCACCACTGCAATATAAGAAAATCATCAAAGAGCTGCATTAGGGACAGAATCACTTTGAAAAATCATCATTCTGCTACGAAATAAAATAGAGCAATAGAGACGGCTCTCAAATGAATCTGATTTTTTGATGGACAAGTAAAATAGCTCACAAATCAGGACGCTGAACTTAAAACAATATGCCTTATTCACCACAGCACCCATAGCAAAATTTCAAACAAAACATAGACTATCAAGTGAAAAAGATAAAATTAGCAAATGCCGCAAAGCAAAACAAGTTCCCCTTGGCATTGATCAAGGAGCAATTTTTGCAAAAGCCCATAAATAGATCAGCAAGGTTCACAACAGTCCACTCTTACTATTTTTCTTTATCGTGTTGTTCACATGTAACATAAAACAAATACTTCCTGACTGGTTCAAATACTAAAACTCATTAGTATTCTAGTCTAGCGTATAAGCATCAAACACTCTTGGGATGTCAATATGGAAATGCTCAATCAAACATATAAGAACATGAAATTCAAGAAATAGAAATAAGTATCACAAGTATAGGTTTAATGGTTTAGATGACTAAACATTTTTGTGTCCCCAAATCACGAAACTATTCATCCCTAAACACCTTACGCTTCCCTAGTTAGAAGAAGCATCTGATTGTTTTTCAACATTTATTGTGCACATCATAGAAAACATCATCCACACAATACAACCTAAATCCTTATGAACAGAAACTAGGCTCACACTGAAGCAAGATTAAAAAAAACTGTACCTGAAAGCAATAGCAATGTCATCCCCAAATTTCTCTAGTGCTTTGTCCATAACCTCAAGAGGGGAAGCATTTTGAAGCTCCTTAGCCAATTTCTCAAAGTCCTCTGCCTCAACATTCTCTCCTACCTCTGCAAATTCACCAAAAAAGCAAACACACACAGCCCAAGAGTCATTTACCATCCTTCAACATCATCAAAAAACGAACACATGCAAAGACATATATTGAAAATTTCATGTACCAGGAGCCACGATGGTAGCTGCTGACGGAACTATTGAATCATTCCTCTTAGGTTCAGCATTCAATGGCTTCACTGCCGAACGCCTCCAAGAATTCAAAACAGTCGACGACAATAGTTGAGGCCTTTCCAATGGCTGAAAGGTACCCAATTGGGATACTGCAAACACCAAACAGAATGCACAAATATATAAATAATAAATCCAAAAAAAAATTAAATAGAACCCAAGAATATTTGAACCCAGATGCAAAATTGTCGGAAAATATCAAATTCAACTACATAGGGATAAAAAAATTGAAACTTTAAAGTCTGGAAAAAAAAGGAGCAAAAGATCAATTTTCAACCCAAATATATCACACGCAAGGAAAGAAATTCGAAACTAATCATATACAGCAGAAATCTGAAACAATAACAGAAGAATACACTAACCCAGATGCTAAATTGATAAAAAAAAAAATTAACCCAAAAATCCGTAGACCCCTATGCTAGAATGCTTCAAATTATCACATTATAGGATAAAGATCAAAACTTTAGAAGGAATAAGTAAAAGGGTACCTTTGGGTTGTTCATAAGAAGAAGATGACGACAAAGACCCATGAATTGCAGATGAAGAAGTGAAAGCCAAAGCCATTTCTACAACACAGATAGATTGATTTCACAGACTCAAAGAAAGATTTGTTCCAGCAAAGAAACCGCTAAATTTCTTTGTGAAAAATAGAGGAAGATGGTGATCGGAAGAAGTCCGTGAGTGTGTGTTGAACACAGAGGAAATCATGGTGAGAAGTATTAAAGGGGACCTGAGACAGGGCGTTCTTCTAGGTTCA